GTTTTTCAAAATATTGTAATTTACTGGCTTTTACCTGTAAATTGTATTAAAAACATTGATCAAGTTCATTGATTTTGTTCAAGGTTGCCTCAGTAATATTCCAGTTCCTAAACTAAAAAAATACATTTATTGAAGGAATCAATGTAATAGACAAAAAATGCAAAAACATATTTTGAGAAAGTGTCAACAAATATCTTCCTAATCCAATTAAAAGACTTTTCCTATTGAAAGAATCCTCCAAAAATGATGTCCGTGCATTGAGACCCAAATATCTTAAATTTGTTATTCCACCTAAATATAACAGAATCATTTCAAAACTTTAAATGACAATTATCCTTCCAACCAATGCATATACTTTAAATTTAAATTCATAGACAAATGTCATCCATGTGAGCAAAAAGAGAAATAAACTGAACAATTTTTGTTGTTGTAGTAAAACCCAAACATTTTTGTCCTCAGTTCATAACTGGCCACTCTCTAAATCCTTAAACATAAATTTTCTCAAAGAAAGATAAAGAAATTTAAAAATTAAATAAATATACTTACTTTAAGAAAATATCTTCCACCAATGCAAAAATACTGTATGCTTTCTGTCCAAATGTCATTCCTAATTACCCCTTACATCTTATATTCTTTATTTTTTTTCAGTATAGTGATTGTTCCTTGTCAATGTTTAGCTTCTATTTAATTTTTTTTTAATTCTTTTTTATTGCTATTTTGCACAGTGTGGATAACTAATATGTTTTGTTGTTGAATATAAGAGATTTTGTGGATATATCTTTTATACTGATATAAAAAACATATTTCGGTCTAAATGGGGTGGAGCAGCACAGATACAGGGAATGTGGGATTTAGGGGTCAGAGTCCAATCAGAACCAATCAGATAACTACACTTAATCTGGGTGGAACCAACACCCGCTGGAGGTAAAAGCTAATTGGCTGCAGCGTCTCTGCCCTTACATGTGATCAGAGCTCAAACCTGTTTCTGTTTTCAGGAAATGAAACTCATACAGTTGCTGTGACTGAGAGGAGAAATGGAGCAGAATCAGCTGGACCAAGAAACCTTCTCCTGTTCAATCTGTCTGGATTTACTAAAGGATCCAGTGGCTATTCCCTGTGGACACAGCTACTGTATGAGCTGCATTAATGCACACTGGGATGAAGAGAATCAGAAAGGAAACCATAGCTGTCCTCAGTGCAGAGAGATTTTCACACAGAGGCCTATTTTGAAAAGGAACACCATGTTAGCAGCTTTAGTGGAGCAGCTGAAGAAGACTGGACTCCAAGCTGCTCCTGCTGATCACTGCTTTGCTGGACCTGAAGATGTGGCCTGTGATTTCTGCACTGGAAGAAAACTGAAAGCCATCAAGTCCTGTTTATTCTGTCTGGCCTCTTACTGTGAGGAACACCTTCAGCCTCATTATGATTCAGCTACATTTAAGAAACACAAGCTGGTGGGGCCCTCCAAGAACTTCCAGGAGAACATCTGCTCTCTTCATGATGAGGTGATGAAGATATTCTGTCGTACTGATCAGAAGTGTATCTGTTATCTCTGCTCTGTGGAACAACATAAAGGCCATGAAATAGTGTCAGCTGCAGCAGAAAGGACTGAGAGGCAAAGCGAGCTGGAGGAGAGACGAGGAAAAATCCAGCAGGGAATCCAGGACAGAGAGAAAGATGTG